CCAGAGGGATCGGGTGGAGAGGGAGGTGGGAGGGGGGACCGGGATGGGGAATACATGTAAATCCATGGCTAATTCATTTCAATGTATGACAAAAACCACTGCAATGTTGTAAAGTAATTAGCCTCCAACTAATAAAAATAAATGGAAAAAAAAATATTTGTGGCTTTTAGCGCGGGCAGCTGAGAAGTTCCGGAAAACCGCTGCACTGCAAGTTGGCTCAGCTGAGACTGCCGCTGTGGTCATCCAGTCCTCAGATCCTGTTGGACGGCTACCAGGCCTCCGATTTTCCAACAGCGAATGGCCACCACTCTCCCCGCCTCTTCGTGAAGAGCGGGAAGGGCGTAGGAGGCCCTTCCCGCACCCAAAGTCAGTACAAGGTTGCCCGGCCAGTGAGCGCCCGGCTCCAGCAAGCGCCACTCCCAGCAGCCGGAACGTTTGCGCGTCGCTACCGCGCGCGGCGGAAGGACTTCGGCGGAGCACTTAGAGCGGATTGAGCTGAACTTCCGGCAGAGCAGAGCTCGGCAGGACAGGTAAGTAAGTGGTAGAGGTTTTCCTGGCGCTGAGGCGGGGACTCGCCGCCTGGGAAGCAAGGCAGCGGGAGGGGCTTTCGCGGCTGGGAGCGGAGACTGAATGACCCCGAACTTCTTCGTGGGGAAGAAGGGTGTGTGGGAGCGTGTGGAGAAGGAGGAGGAGAATTTCCGTCTATGAAGCCGCATAGAAGCATCTATCTAGGGCAGCAGTTTGGAGAGTGACTCTCTTTCCCTATGGCAGGGCGCAAGTTTGGTACTTGTGGCTCTGGGTTCTAGCTTGTGATCATCTGTGTGGCCTCAATAGTTACCAACCTCTGAGCCTTGAGGTCCACACCTGAAAAGCAGAACTGTTATCACCCTTGCCTTTCTCAAAGCGCTTGGCAGGGCTAGGTGTGAGGGAAAGCTTCATAAATTTCGATGTTTGGTGCAAATCTCATTGTTTATAGCATTCTGAGCTCATGTGAAGGAATCACACCACCAGGCTTCTGAGGGGAGTGGCTTTGCAAGAAGGTGGACTATTCAGTCATAGGTAGTTGAAGATGCTGCTGAAGAGGTTACCAAGTACATCTTTCTCCAGGCTGCATAAATCCCTTCTCTATTTACTGCATGCATTGTAAATATCCAGCTTCCCTTTGAACATCTGCGGTTATGAAGATCTTATTACCTTTGTCCTATCCCTGTAATTTCCCATTGCAGTCAGTTCAAATTAAGAAATTCTTGTATGCAGAGAGCCAGAGATGTTCCTTATTGCAGCTTCTGCTCATTGGTTCTCACCTTGTTTCTGAACTTTCAGGGAATTAAAAGTTATAAACTAAAAATAAAATACTTTAAATATTGATGTGATGAGCGGCAGTAACCACATCTTTAAGAATTTAAGCTTTTGACTTTTTATATTCACGATAAATACAAACACACCTCCATGGAAGATCAAAATGTTCAGTTTAGTCGCTGCATGCTGTGTTACTACAGTCATCATTAAGCCTATAAGGCACCAACATAAGTGTGTTGAAAAAGCACAGATGACAAAATTAAGTCATTTCTTGTTATTTCAGGATACTAAAGTGGAACACTTGATCTGAAACAATTGAATCCACAGAAGTTTAGTAAACAATATCTGATTGTAGCAGGTGCCGAGAAAGCAGTGATGCCATAGAGGCAGTTTTCAATTTATCAATAGATTTTAATTCCAGAAGTTAATTTATAAAAGTCTACATTTATTTGGATTTTTAAAGTATATTTTACTATAGAACAATGAAATAAATGGAGAGTAGTGTGAAAGTGAAAATGTTAGTTGCTCAGTCATGTCCGACTCTTTGTGACCTCATGGACTGTAATCTGCCAGGCTCCCCTGTCCATGGAATTCTCCAGGCAAGAATGCTGGAGTGGGTAGTCATTTGCTTCTCCATGGGATCTTCCCAACCAAGGGATTGAGCATGGATCTCCTGCTTTTTTACAGTCTGAGCCACCAGGGAAGGCCAAATGGAGAACGGGTCTTGGTTATTGTCCTTATCACAAAAATTAATCTTTTCCCCTGCCAGTGATGGGATTTGTTCTGTCCTTAATGTCTTGGCACTTAGGATTCCTTTGATCCTTCATTTATGAAAGAAGGAAAATGAAAGTGAGAATGTAAGATGGAGAGGGAGATTCCATTGGGGAGGGCGGAGGTGTGAATGTGATGGGTGTTTATTACTTGGTTATGGTTAATAGAGTGGCTTCCTAGGTGGCTCAATAATAAAGAACCTGCCTGCCAATGCAAGAGGTATGGGTTCCATCCCTTGGTGGGGAAAATCCTCTGGAGAAGGAAATAGCAACCCATTCCAGCATTCTTGCCTGGGAAATCCCATGAACAGAGAAGCCTGGTGGGCTACAGTCCTTGGGAATGCAGAGTCCAATGTGACTTAGTGACTAAACAGCAACAAAGGGTTAATAGATGCCTCCCAACACCAATTTTGTCCCTGATTATTAAAAAAATACACTTTCATATTGAAAAGATGAAAATACAGAAAAAAATAAACAAAAACCCAATCATCCTTAACCCTAACATCCACTCAAAACCATTTGTCCTATTTATTAAATTACTAAATAGTTCCATTTTCTTTTAATAGTTGAGGTTATAGTGTAGGTTTGCCATTGTATTGTTTTAAAAAATTATCCTGGCTGTCCAGTGGTTAAGACTTTGCCTTCCAATGCAGGGGGTGCAGGTTTGATTCCTGGTGGGATAACTAAGGTCCCATGTGCCATGGGGAGTGACCAAAAATTTTTAAATAAATAGATTTTTAAAAATTATGAACCATAAGCATTTATCATTTATGAATAATAATAAATTTTATTAAGCTTGATGATGAGAAAATTCACACAGACACAAAGGTGGAGAGGTAGTAAATGAATCACCATGTATCTATCACTCAGTGATAAGCAGCAGTTGTAGCTAGCATTGTTTCATCTATACCTGTACCTACTTCTCATAATTCTGTAGTTCTGTCCTGTGACACATCCTTAATGCATTTTTATTTTTTATTAATTGTAAAGAGAAGCTTATTTATATTGGTGCCAAATTTGAGCATAAATATTTGCATTCTTTCTTGGGGGTATGAAAAAGTTCCACGAGGATTTAAACTAATGAGTGATTGCATTCAACTACAATTATTGAATAAATTGCAAAGAATAATATGACTTTGCAGTCCGAGTTTTTTTTACTTTGTATGTTTATTTCCCTCTCTTTATTTTTCAAATTTAATTATATACATCTGGTAACTATCATCTTTAATAAATTCATAGTATAATGACTTTTTTACAATATGTAAGGTACAAAATGGATGAAGAGCCTGAAAGAACTAAGCGATGGGAAGGAGGCTATGAGAGAACATGGTAAGTAGGGCATTATTACTCTCTTCCCTTTTAGACGTTGTTTTAGGTTTTTTTCTTTCCCACAACACTTTCAAAGTATATTTTACACATGTTAAAATTCACCTGTTTCTTATGTATAATTCAGTGATTTTTAGAAATCTTCAGGGCTGTGCAAACATCAACATAAACCAGTTTTAGAACATTTTTACCATTCCAGTAATATCCCTCATGTCCATATACAATTAATTCCATTTCCACCTCTAGTCCTAGGCAACCATTAATCTATGTACTTTCCGTCTTTTGAGATTAGCCCTTTCTGGACAATTCATGTAAATGTAATCATATAATACGTGGTCAGTTTTGTCTGACTTCTTTAACTGAACATGCTGTTTTTAAGTTCAACCTTATTGTAGCATGTATAAGTAATTCATTCCTTTTTACTGCTGAATGGTATTCTGTTATATGTTTATGCCATATTTTTTATCCATCCTTCCTCCATTTGATGAACATTTAGATTGTTTATAATGTTTGGCTGTTATGAATAATGTAGCTGTGAATATTCAGGTGCAGATCTTTGTGTGGACATGTTTTCGTTGCTGTTGGGTTAATAAAATTTTAGCTTATCTTTTCAAACAATTAAATGTTTCCTATAGGGAGATTCTTAAAGAAGATGAATCAGGATCACTTAAAGCTACAATTGAAGACATTCTTTTCAAAGCAAAGAGAAAAAGGTATGTAACCTTTCTGTGTGTGTTACAGAGGTAAAATATACTCCTTTAAGACTTTTTGTCCGCCTCTGCCTACTCCTCAGTACTTCATTTGAGCTGTGTTTCAGAGAACCTGACTTACACCCTTTTAAATAGGGGGTAGACTCAACAACCTAATGCCTCATCAGGGAAATTCATCTTCAGGGTTTATCTAAAATGTACATAATTATATGCATCCCATAAGTTAATGATTTACTTCCCTAGAAACGTGCACTTTAGTTGAAAAGTAATTGTAATGACATTAGTTGTAATGATCTTTCATGTAGTATATGCTATTTCCTTAAAACCTTTGCATAATTTTAACAGGGTATTTGAGCACCATGGACAAGTTCGACTTGGAATGGTATGTTATTCTTTTTCCCTTTACTGGTACAGAACTAGTTTGAGTTACACAAACATTCTGGCTCAAATAGAATAAACTTTTTAAAGGAATATATTAAAAATATACGTGTAGAATATGTAAATGCTAAGGGCCGTTTTTAAACTTGTTGGTCAAAAATGTATTTGAAAATTGTTCTTATTTATTTGTTTTGTTTATTTGGGGGATTTTATTTTTGGTAGATGCGCCATCTATATGTGGTAGTAGATGGATCAAGAACAATGGAAGACCAAGATTTAAAGCCAAATAGACTGACATGTACATTAAAGGTATACTAAAATTATTCTGATTTGTATTACATGTGAGGAAGGATGCTGAATTCTAAAAGAAATGTTTTTAAAGAATGCATTCTTTTTTTTTTTTTTTTGAGGTAATGCAAACTATAGCTAAGTAGAAGTGCTATTCTGGATTGCTTACCAAAATCGTATACCAAAATCGCTAATTATTTATGATCTTAAATTCCACTCCATGTTAGGCTCTTGCTTCGTCAGTTTTTCCTTTTCTTTATTGAATCTTCATTCTCCTTTGACTTACTTGTATTAATCTCCTCAGCTTATAAATACATTCAGATTATTCCTAACTTATTCAAACCCATCTTCAGTTTTGTTCATTTTCCTGTTTATCTTTTTTGGATCTTTTTCTTGTTTAGATTGTTTCTGTCTTACGTGTCCGAATGGTTCCATCTTTTAAGGCTGAGGTTAAACCTGTCTCATCACTTACCATTTCAAATTCAATTTTATTTAATATTTTAATTTTTATATTTAATATTTTAAAATGTATTATTTATTAATTTTACTACTTAATATTTTAAAAAATTTGTAAGCTTAAAAATCATAAGAAATAATGCTTGATAAATAGATTTCACCAAACCTGTTCTCTGTGTTGCTATTTTGCTGTTACCTACTTTTTTCTTTTTGTTTTCTTTAAACAGTTGTTGGAATACTTTGTAGAGGAATATTTTGATCAAAATCCTATTAGTCAGGTATGTAGATAAATGATATAATTCGGAATTAGCATCCTGATATTATTGCCAAATATAATGTATTTTTTAAAACATTGGACATATATTCTATCACTTACTAAGTTATTCAGATTGTATACAAGTTACTGTGACACTTGGCAATGAAAAGCAAGATAACTCTAGAAGTTAAACAATATACAGTGAACCCATAGCTAAATTTACATCAAAAGTATTTCACATGTTACTTATTCATTTTTTAACTAGTCATTTATTTTAGTTACATACATTCTTATCAAGAAGAAGTAATTTAAGTTAATAATCATTTTTGTTTTTATTTTGAGATTGGAATAATTGTAACAAAGAGTAAAAGAGCTGAAAAACTGACTGAACTCTCAGGTATGCATAAAATTACCTTTCTCGCACTCAAGGACTTTGATTTATTTATCTAACCTTGTAACTGTGTTCATGAGGTTGCCTAATAAGCAAAACGAAACCTTCCTGCAGGCTGTCTTCGTAAAACACTTTAAAAACCTTTTTTAAACTCTCTGTCTCTAAAATGGCCTTTTTTTTTTTTAAGATTTTAGTTCCCTGACCAGGTATCAAACTTGTGCCCCCTGCAGTGGAAATGCAGTCTTAATTACTGGACCATCAGAGAAGTCCCTAAAATGAACTGTTTTAAATTGAGTTCTGCACAGTGATGAATACTATTACAATGAATGTAAATGTTTATTCAGTCATGAAAGTATTAGGATAAAATAATTTAAACATTCACAAGAGCCACTTAATCTTTTTTAAAAAACTATTTCTTTATTTTTGGCTCTGCGGGGTCTTCACTGCTGTGCAGAGGCTTTCTCCAGTTGTGGCGCGCAGGGGCTACTTCCTAGTTGCAGTGTGGGCTTCTCCTTTTGGTGGCTTCTCTTGTGGAACAAGAGCCCTAGGGCATGAGGCTTCAGTAGTTGTGGCACACAGGGCTTAGTTGCCTGGAGGCATGTGGGATCTTTCCAGGCCAGGGATGGAACCCTTGTCCTCTGTGTGGCAAGCCAGACTCAACTACTGGACCACCAGGGAAGTCCCTAAGTAAGATGTCTATCAAGTCTGCATGACCCTCCTAGTTTGTCGTCTCAGCACAAGCTCCAAGGAGTGTTCTTACTGACCCTGGTTAAGATCTGCCCATCCATGAGCAGTCAAGTGACTAAGAGAATGAAGTATTTTGTTGGTAGGCCTGGATTCCACGTCTCTGCTTCAAGTAGGATAGAAGCAGGATAAGTTCCACCTGTACCACGTCGTGTAAGCTGGGTTAGTATACAGTGAGGGAAGGATGGTTCCCCTAAGGAAAGGATGTAGGGCAACCCTCCTGCGTGTTCCCTCCCCCTAGGTTAATAATAGTATTCTCTGGGTGCCTGAGAGGCAATATGTACAGAGATGAAAAACCCTCTGGAGATTCTTGTGGGCCTCTTGAGAATACCCTCTCTTTCCTGAACAAAATCACTGCTATAAACCACACTGAGAGTAATGTAAATATGCTTTTTTACTAGACTCACAACACAATAGGAGATTAAAAAGTTTTTTGTATGGTGTGGTAGAAAGAAAAGTAAATAGAGAGCCATACGATCAAGGTTTGACTACTGGTCCTGCCATTGGGTAGCCATATGTCTTTCAGCAAATCATTTAACTTATGTAGATTTGTTTATCAGTTATGAAATGAAGGATTTGGACTTAGGTACTTTTCATTTCTAAAATTTATGATTCTAAGAATAAATACTTGATATATATAGCTGAACAAGTTGAGCATTAGGAGTGCTGACCCTCTGTATAGTTGAAAATCTGCTTATAACTTTAATATAGTTGGTCCTCTGTTTCCTTGGTTCCACATCTGAGAATTCAACCATCTACACAGCATGTGGTACTGAAGTATGTACTTAGTGAAAAAAAATCTGCATATAAGTAGATGTATATAGTTCAAATACTTACTGTTCAACGGTCCAGAGTATATTAACTGTGGCAAATAGTTAATATTTTAATACTTACTCAAGTAAACAAGAACACCAAGAAGTTCCAAATGAATGAATGGGCAAAAAAAAAAAATAATTCATACCAGCATAAAAAGGAATTAAACAACTGTTAAAAAAGAAAATTTAAACAAACTAGTATTCTAAATACTAGTTTTGAATCCAAGTCTATGCCCTGACCAGTAATGCTGAAGAAGCTGAAGTTCAACGGTTCTATGACGACCTACAAGACCTTCTAGAACTAACACCCAAAAAAGATGTCCTTCTCATTATAAGGGACTGGAATGCAAAAGTAGGAGGTCAAGAACCACCTGGAGTAACAGGCAAATTTGGCCTTGGAGCAGAGAATGAAGCAGGGCAAAGGCTAATAGAGTTTTGCCAAGAGAACGCACTGGTCATAGCAAACACCCTCTTCCAACAACACAAGAGAAGATTCTACACATGGATATCACCAGATGGTCAACACCGAAATCAGATTGATTATATTCTTTGTAGCCAAAGATGGACACGCTCTATACGGTCAGCAAGAAACAAGACCAGGAGCTGACTGTGGCTCAGATCATGAACGCCTTATTGCCAGAATCAGACTTAAATTTTAAAAAGTAGGGAAAACCACTAGACCATTCAGGTATAACCTAAATCAAATCCCTTATGATTATACAGTGGAAGTGAGATATAGATTTAAGAGACTAGATCTGATAGAGTGCTTAATGAACTATGGACGGAGGTTCGTGACGTTGTACAGGAGGCAGGGATCAAGACCATCCCCAAGAAGAAGAAATGCAAAAAGCAGTGGTTGTCTGAGGAGGCCTTACAAATAGCTGTAAAAGAAGAGAAGGAAAGGCTAAGGAAAAAAGGAAAGATATACCCATTTGAATGCAGGATTCCAAAGAATAGCAAGGAGAAATAAGAAAGCCTTCCTCAGCAATCAATGCAAAGAAATAGAGGAAAACAATAGAATGGAAAAGACTAGGGATCTCTTCAAGAAAATTAGAGATACCAAGGGAACATTTCATGCAAAGATGGGTTCGATAAAGGACAGAAATGGTATGGACCTAACAGAAGCAGAAGATATTAAGAAGAGGTGGCAAGAATACACAGAAG